TATACTTTTAATTGTAGCCTCTTTCATAATTGCAAATTGTCTTAAATCTTCTTTGTTAAGTTTTCTAAAATAAAATGCTTCCGACTTAGTTATAACACAGTAACAAGTGAGGTTACAGAAAGTGTTCACTGTCTAAGGTCACTCTAGTTACCTCTATCTTAAAAGAAGTAGATATAGGATAACAGTAGTTTAGGGCATAGCTATTTATCGTATAAGCTGGTATAAAATTGAATCAGAATAGTGGGGCTGGTTTAAGGCAATGCTACATGATAAAAAACTAAAAGAGAAGAATTGTAAAATATTTTCTTTTTGCATATATTCGAAAGTATAAAATTATTAGATAATTATGGCTAGAGCTAGTATATGTATGCACACCATTCTTCAGAATCTGTTGCAATAATGAAGAAAGAATCCTAAAAAGAGAATGAGCTAAGTTATACGAGTGAAAATTAAAAGCGAAATCACATTCACAATAATAAAAAAGTTAATAATCAAAAAAAATAAAAATAAAATAAATAAATACCACAAAAAATCATCTTTGCATAGCCTCAAAGCCCCAATATAATGAAGTGATTCTTCTAAATTATAAAAAGAGTTATTTTTAAAGATATCTTTTACTCAATTAGCAAATAACCTGATAACTGTTCTTTGCTTTACCTTTTAAGTTTCTCCGTAAAATTAACTTTGTCTTTTCAAATTCATCTAATTCAAATGCTATATTTTGAATAATCTTCGTGATAGTTGATTAGTTTCTAAAAAAAAAAAAAATACCTTTCGTAAATTTACGTATTTCACAAGGGTCTAAAGTCTTGTATGGATGGTATATTTGTCTGATTTCATATGAAATGACAATCAAAGAATTTTTTTAGCATATTAGTAAAGAAATATCAAATCCAAATATACAAACTAGCTTAGATTTTGAAAAGGTTAAATATGTTGAAATAAGTCAATCAATAAATTCAGAAACTATACAGGCAAGCCCCAAATGCAAAATTATTGAACTTACCAGTACATTCAGAGCAAATGTTTATTATCATCTCCAAAATGAAGAAAAATCGTCTACTAGTTCTCTGAATAGTTTTGATATCCTTATGCAATCTGCAATGCATAATAATAAATTATGTATTCCTAATTTTTTATATTCTGCAAAATCTAATCGCAAACAGGTATTAAAATTGGACATAGTGAATTGGATTCAACATAATAAAAGTAGTTGGTCGACACAAGCCTTTGCAGATAATTAAGGAAAACAATTTGTTGTCGCTTTGTCAGAAACATTATAGTATATAAACATACATGATCATAAAAAGTTAGAAGATCGAAGTTTCTATATCCCTCATTTATTTTATGAATTTTTGAACTGCACAAATCCAGAATCGTACAAAGAGGCCAGAAAACCATTTGATGCGAATAAGCTTAGTCTTCACTGTCAATCGCTTATTTCATTTGCTACGTCTTCGTGGATGAGATCTTTGAATTTCGTCTGGTTATCTAAAGAATTTGATAAACTTATTTTAGTTATTTCTGATTATATAGACTATTTGCAAAAACAACAAAAAATAACAGCAACTAATCATAAAAGTAAAGTTTTCGTCTGAGATGTTAAACAGGCTACAACTATGAAAGTTTATAAACCTAGTATTTGGATAAGCCTGCAAAATAAAATAAAATATTATGAACTTGAAAAGGTTTTACATAAGCTTCCATTTTGGAAACCATGTAATATTGAAGAATATTTGCTATTAGAACCAATGTGTGTAATTCAAATATACACATTAAAAAATATATATAAGTTACTTACTATTTTTTTTATTTAGGCAACAATTTCGTTTTATACAAAATCTCCATCAAGCATTTATGTTCAAGATTGGTAAGTATTGCTATAATTCAGATAACAATGCATATAATTGTATTTCAATTTGGAGAATTGATGAAAATGCAAGTGAGACAAAAATAGTACAAGAAAATACACGTATTGTAAAAGAATTACAAAATAATGCACCTTATTATCATACTCATGCTATGCATATGAACTACTTTTGTACATGTAATCTTCTATTACTAAAAATAAAGCCAGCTCCATTGCGAACAATTTATCGTATATTATCGGGTGATATATCCACTGCTGAATGTGCAAATGAAGCAAAGATAGATGCTCGTATAAGATTGGCTTTAGAACTTGATGACCCTAATATAGTAATTGATTTATATAAGCATAATAAAGAAAGGTCAAAAAAATATAAAATATTTTGGGATACAGTGGCAAGTTATCTTGCAGGAAGAGCTTTGGATTTAGTCACTGCAGTTGATGAATGTTGTCATAATTTAATTGTACACCTTGTTACAGCTATTTCAGTAAAGAATTTACTTCGGCAAATTAAATCAAAGTGTCCACCTAATATACCAATTCCTAGTAAACAGTGGTTTAGATTACAATTCTGGCCCAAGAACCCAACACATAAAAATAGTTTGCAGTATACAGGTCATCTACTATTGAAATTCATGGTGCAAGCTTGGCAGTTACATGCAGATCACCAAGATGCACATTATGCATCTGCTCTATTTCGGTATGAGAAGGAATTTGCTATCAAATTTCGTAATGTAACAATGTTCATTTTCCTTGATAACAAACACTAATGTAAAATTGAAGAGTCTGGGTATCCAGTAGCCACTGTAGAAAGGAGTAAACAAGTAATAGTTAGAAAAAATACTACATTTGCAGTAAGCAATCATGATTTTACTAAAACTGATATAATACCAAGTGTAACAATGCTATGTAACATTCCGGAAACAATTGATGATGATTTCTACATGGAAAAGGTAAATATTTGCTTAAAGAATTCAATATTCCAACTTTCTTACTCTTTATGACACATAACAGAACTTTTAATATTCTTTAGATGCAAGAAACAAGCAAACCTGTACTATGTCTCTATACAGATGGTGGACCTGATCACAGATGCACATTTGTTAGAGTTCAAATGGCATATATTTGTTTGTTTCTGGAGCTTAACCTTGATTATCTTGTAGCAATGAGAACACCACCATATCATTCATGAAAAAATCCTGTTGAATGTGTCATGTCAATACTTAATCTAGGATTACAAAATATGGGGTTAATGCATAGTAAAATGGAAGATAATTATGAAAAACTTTTAAGTAAAGCAAATACAATGAAAGAAATTAGGAACATCGTGGAATCAAACTCAACATTTAAAAATAAGCTTATTGAAAGTATTCAAAATCCTATTAACCTTATTCGTAAGGTATTCGAAAGGCAGTGTCTGAAAGATAATCTGTTTGAAACATTTAATGCTGCATTGGATGAAGAAATAGAAACGTTTTAGAAAGCAATTCATCAGATTGATGAAACAGTAATCTATAATGATAGTACAATGGAACACATAAAGCAAAGAGTAAGTGATTAAACGTGTAAATAAAAAAATAAAAAAATTAATAATGCTTCTTTTTTTTTTTTTTAAGCAATGCTTGAATAACTTTTATAACCATTGTTGTACAACTCGCTATTATTCTTTTACAATAAAGAAATGTGAAAAAGATAATTGTACAATATGCAAACCACCTCGATATTCACTTGAGATTTTTAATCAACTATATTGCCTTCCTGATCCAATTCCAGGAAATGATCTATATTATAAGTCTTTCGAAGAACTATATGGCACTACGATGACTGAAAAGTATAGACCCTCATATCAAGAAAAAATGCTTCGATCAAAATCCAATAAAATAAAACAAAACAAATTAAAGCACACAATGCCATTTTGCTCTTCTGCATTACGTGCTAAAAATGTAGGAATTACTGTTACTTGCACAGAATGCAGCAAACTATGGCTTCTATTCAGTACGAGAAAGATATCAGATAAGAACCATCAAATACTTTGTCAATTTTTAGACACAATCCTATACACCTGTGGAATGATATTTAAAAGTACCAATGAGTTAACTTCAATAGTACTATTATCAGCTGAACTTTCAAATAACCATTACAACAATACTACATCTAAAATAACTAAGTCTTCAATCGAATATGATGATGATGAGAGCAATGATTATGAGAAGAGTATCGATTTTGATGACATAGTTGTGTCTGAAGAGGAGGATCAAGGTGATCAAGAAGAGGATCGAGGTGATCAATAGAAGAATCAAAGCGATCAAGAAGGGAATCAAAGCGATCAAGATGATACTAATACGAAACCTGATTTTGTTGATGACAATATTAAAGATGTCATTAGTGATCTTGTTCAAGAGCTTTTTACTCGTATTTTTGTAAATGACTCTTGGATGTGTGCTTCTTCTATCGAAAAACCATATTACTCAGCTGAAATTTATCCTAGTATTTGTTATACTTGCAGTAGTCCTAATGTTGAAAAGACAGTATCAAAAAATATATATCTAACTTGTAATAACTGTATTACGAGTTTAAAAAAATGTTATAAATAGGAGCTGGCAAATAAAAATAATAGAAAAAGATCTTGTAATGAAGTACTGTAAAATCGAAATATCAATTAGTGTTACCGAACCTACAGGTGCTTATTTTTTTTAAAGTCCAGATTCTAAGTATGATGTAATTTATGTAAATGAATATATTAGTAATTATTAGCTTTATTTATTATAGTTGTAAATTGTACGTAATATTTTAAAATTTAAAAAAATAAAATATATGTTAGCAGAGAGCAAAACTAATACATATAAAACATGAGAATCAGCTATGATATTACGATATTAGAGGTCGGAAATAAATATTCATTGAATATCTTAATTGATTCGTTTATATTTGTGAATATTTGCATGAATATTTGTATTACAAATAAAAGAACAGGTATTCATTTAAAATCTGAATATTCGTTCAATACTATTCAAAACCTGTGAATATTTACTGAGTAGAGATACTATACATAATGTGATAGTGCTTAATTTCGGGGGTGTTTAATTTCAGAGCAGCTTAGTATATATCGATATTAACAATTCTGATTGGTTAGCTCTTTACTAAAAATTAAAATTTTCTTGTTTGGGTTTGTTAACCTAGCCAGGTTATGAGAACCAAAAATATAATTTTGTATGGCCTTAAATAATTAATGCATCTAAATTTTATAAGTAAAATTTGTACTAAATTTACTTTTTAAGATTATTTAACTAAAAAAAAGCTGTTAGTTTAATTTTTAGATATAAGTTTATAAATTCTCTAATATTATAAGGTTTATTCTATGAAATTTTAAGAATAGTTAAAAATAAATTTTTAAATAATCTAGTTCACAAAGTTGGCTAATTTTTGATATATATTATTTGCATCACTTATAAACAAATAATAAAAATTATAAAAAATTAGACAACTTTATAAATTAAATTATTTAAAGATTTATTTTTAACTACTTTTGAAATTTTATAAAATAGAAGTATGATGATTTAGTAAAATGAATAAGTTGTCAATTCTCCAAGTAGTAGGTAATGAGTTCAAAATCCATTGACGATAATAATTTGGATAATCACTTATATAATATATAGATAGTATTATAGTGATGGCATTCTGTTGATCAGTTAGGATAAGATACCTGTAATACAGTCACATCAGCATGATTGACAAGTCATGAAGCATCTGCACAATATTGGAGTTACACAAAAGAATGTAAACTAGATCAGACAGTACAAACTCAAGATAAGTTCTTATAGCTATATAAATTCATAAATTGAAAAGCTGGAGCCTACTTGGAAAGATCCAAGTAAAGAAATAGCATAAATCTTTAACAAAATTACTATAAAGACTAGACATAGAAAATGAATACCAATATAGAAAAAATTGAGTGAACAAGAATTTTGTGTAAGAGATACTACTAACTAGATTATCAGAAATCTTAAACTAAAAGAAAAGAACCTTGAAAGGCAGACCTTAGAGTATCAGGAACAGGTTATAGTTCTTTTAGACTATCTGGATTAAGAGTCTGAAATTAAAAACAGAAGTATATTATAAGTACTAGAAATATGCTATGAAATTAGTGCTAGAATCTAAGTAAATTCTGCAAGGGTAAGCTCTGTTAATAAGGATTAAATATAGGTAGTTAGTTAGCAAAAAGGTACCTTTTAGCCTTACAGTTAGGTGACATACTCTGAAATATATAATAACTTGACAGATATACAGAAAGGGAGGCCAAAGTTAGGTTAGACAGAATCTAATATAGGTGTACAAGAACTTGTCTGCTATCTGTCAGTATAGTATAAAAATCAGAGTATTTAAAATAGGTAATCTTTTAGTAGATTGCAGGTATAACAGCTAGTGTAGAACCTGTTGTATAGATAAATTACTTAAATTAAATAATCAAAAATTATATGAGTAGCTAGTTGTACATTTATCTTGTACAAGTTATATAACTATAATTAAAAATATAATAAAAGTAGTAGTCATCAATAATCATAACCTTAGTAAAACAAAAAAAAAAAATTTTATAAAATGAACTTTATAATATTAAAAAATTTATGAACTTATACTTAGAAATTAAAACTAACAACTTTTTTTTAGTTAAATAATTTTAAAAAGCAAATTTTGTACAAATTTTACTTATAAAATTTGGATGTATCAATTATTTAATCTAAATTTTACATATAACAAATCATGTGTTTGATAAGTAATTATTTAAGGGTAGAGTATACGTAGATCATTTTTTATATGATCTTTGTGGTACAATATAATTTTTATATAAAATAAAGCTTTGCTACTAATAAAACTTTTTACTATTGCAATTAATTTTTATTAAATTTTTATATAATATAGAATA